TTCCGACTCGATGGCACCTGACAACAACAACAACCAACAGCGAACATGGTGCTTAGCATGTGGAAAGCACCCAGTGTGAATGAATGAATGAATCATCATTAAGGCTGTGAGACCTTGAAGACAGCAAGCAATTGGATAAAACAAATTTAGAAAAATGCTCAGACCAACTCAAGCAAGATCCAATCATTACACCCCAGCATACATGATTTCACCATTATAGGAGAAATCAAACTATTTCCTTCCCATATTTTCCATGCAGAACTTAAAAGCACTAATATACTTTATAAGAACAAACCCAACATGCAAGTTACATTTATGTTCAACTAACTTTTGCCTCTTCAGTTTTCCAGATATAAGTATAGGCAATTTTAAGGTGTGCCTCAATAAATATTGAGGCAGTGAATACAAATGAAATTACCACCAAGTTTCCATATCATCATCAAATTAATGTTTCATCAATCCTGCATCGTGGCTGTTGTTGTTAAGTGCCATTAAGTTGATTCTGACCCACAGCGACCTAGTATAGGGTTTCCGAGGAGCAGCTGGTGAGCTTGAACTGCCTGCATTGTGGTAGTGGTGTTGTTATGTGCCATGGAGTCAGTTCCGACACACAGCGACCTGTACAGGGTTTCCGAGGCTGCAAATCTTTATGGGAGCAGAAAGCCTCATCTTTCTCCTGCGGAACAGCTGGTAGTTTCGAACTGCTGACCCTAAGGTTCACAGCCCGATTAGTAACCACTCCGCTACCAGAGCTCCTTTGCATTGTGGTAGATACTTATTAAGTAATGGAAGTGAATTATGCATAAACAGGCTTCCTTAATTTCAAAGTATATCATTTTACAAGTTTACAATGCATTTTGTATCCGCTTTTGCTAATCTTAATAAACCTAAGCTACTTATATGAATTTTAAATATAAATATTTACACTGAGAAATTCTTATTTGGTGTGAGAAATAGTGACACTTCAGTTGAGAAAAAGGCAAACAAATCTTTTTTTAAAATCTTTGCATTACACATTCGCAAAATTATGCAACTGCTAATATTAAGCCCGTTTGTGTGCAAACAACTCAAATAAATGTATTAAGTGACTACAATGTTAACGGGGAAGAGTTCTAACACAGACGAAAACAAGTATCAAAAATATAACAAAATTGTAGCTTCCTTTCTGGAAAATCTCATTAAAAAAAAAAAAAAAGGTCTCCGCGTTTTCAATTCCGCAACATAGACTAATTGCAACAGTTACTAAATTTTAAAAGATGGCTAATTATTTCAGATCGACTGCATCTTCAAAATGGCAACAAAACCCAAGGGTTCTGATTTACAGCCAGCAGTTCTGCGAAGGGCTACTTTGTTTCACACACAGCACGTCGAGACTGTCAGAGAGAGCGTGCCATCAATTTCTGGGTTAGACCTCAACAAATCAGAGAAGCGCTGGACAGACAGCGCCACACGCTGATTTTTATCCAGAGTAATTACAATGGGGGGCCTGGGGAGACACTGCTCAACTCAATGCTTTTTACTCTTTCTTTCCACGCCGGGGTTCCTGGAAAAAAGGCCCCCGAGGATCCTGTTCTGCCGGGTGTGTTAGCGATGGGTTCGTGCTAAAGATCTCACTCAGACGCAAGTTAACAGTGCTACTTCTATCGAGTTTTCTTTCAACAGTACCCTCAGGCTGCCCCTCAGGGTCCGGGTCTGACAACCTCAAAAGCAATAGGTGCCCATCCTCAGTCGGGCTGAGAGGGGCACCACCAAATCCGTGCGGCTCCTTTCGGGCGCAGGGAGCAGACTGGGTGGCTCTGTGGTTCCGGGGGGAACCTGGAGAGGCCCGGGCGAGCTCGGCGAGGGGGGGCCCCCTCCACACCCCGGTTCCCGCCGCGGCCCGACCCAGAGGTTAACCCCTTCGGCGCCCCCCGTTCCCGGGCGTGCCTGGACCGCTGCGCCCCACTGGCCGCCCCGAACCCGGGTCGTCGAGGGCTCGGGCGGCAGGAGTGCGGAGGGATGGCAGAGGCCCGGGGCCTAGTCCCGGGCAGCGTGTCCCGGCGCCCGCCCTCCCCCACTCGCACGCTCGCTCTCGGGCTAGGGCGCGCCCGACCGCCCGCACGCCCGCACGCCTGCCCTCGCGCCCTTCCCACCGCAGCCCGCACCCTTTCCCGACGCCGCCTGGGCAGGAGGTACCTGCGGGCTGTGGAGGGCCATGGCGGCCCGTTTCAATGGGACTCGGCGCGCCGCTTGACTCCTCACGCCGCTTCCCCCGCCGCCGCCATCTTGTCACCCGCACATACACACTCGCCGCGGCTGTCGCGCCTGCGCATTGGCCTCCGCGCCGCTGGCAGGGAGAGACCAGGCGCGTATGCGCCGTGCGCCTGCGCGGCCGACAGGTGGGCGTGCGTCGGCTGGGCGCACCTTCTGGCAGTGACCCGGCGGGGGACATGAACTCTGAGCCTGCGGCCGGCGGAGTGAAGCCGCTATCGGGACCAGCCTGCTGCGGCCCGCTGCAAGCCGGAAAGGGAAAGGACAGAAAGGCGAAGATGGCTCCGCCGAAGCGCTAGATGAGATCCGGGCTGCGCCTTCGCTGGGAGCCTACATTGGCGGCCGTGGCGGGACTCAGGGGCTTTCGGACCTAGAGCCAAGGCCCGAGGACGCCCGGGTCTCACTTCCTAGACCTGCTTCTCCGAAGTGATTCCTGAAGTTCCACGCAGGACACCCTGATTTATGGAGATCGCATGTCAGCCCATTTATTTATTCATTCATCCATTGTACAAATACCATGCACCTACTCTGTACCTTTTGCTAAACCTTGGAGACTAAAACAGAATAACATCGTGCACTGAAAAGCACTTAGCATGTGGGTTGACAAATAGTAAGCACTCAGTAAATGTTCCCTGTTAAACACATACATACACACACAAGGCAGACTGACTATCCGGGTCTTTGTTCATTCATTCACCCAAGACAGTTTGTGAGCGCCCGTATGTAAGCCCTGTTTACCTGCCATTGGATCTGTGGTGTGGTTAGTCCTCCTTCGGTGTGATTTCAGGCAAGTAACTTCACTCTCCTAAACATCTCTGTGAGTGAGACTAAATTTTCTTAACCCCTAATATTCTGTAAGGGTCAAATTAATGAGTATAAACCAAAGGCCAAAGAGCCCTGAGGGCCTAAGTTTAAGCAGTATGAACTGCATGCATCTTGATGTAAAGTCCTTACAATTGGACAAATAAATAGCTTCATGATAAATGGAGAAAAGATTGGACTTGTCAAAGATTTCATTTTACTTGGATCCACAATCAATGCTCATGGAGGCAGCAGTTAAGAAATCAAATGACTTACTGCACTGGGCAAATCTGTTGCAAAACACCTCTTTATGTTAATGTGTTAAGGAGCAAAGATGTCCCTTTGAGGGCTAAGGTGCACCTGACCCAAGCCATACTATTTTAAATTGCCTCATATGTATGGGGGAGCACAGTGGATAAGCACTGGACTGTGAACCACAAGGTCAGCATTTTGAACCCACCCGTTCTGCTCCTGAAAAACATTTACAGCCTGGGAAACCCATATGTGGTCACTATGAGTCGGAATCAACTCGATGGCACTTAACAACTACATGGGAAAGCTGGACGAAGACTAAGGAGGGCCGGAGAAGAATCAATGCATTTGAATTATGATGTTGGAGAAGAATATTGAATAGACCATCAATTGCCAGAAAAAAAAAAGTACAGATTTGTTTGGGAAGGAAAGTTCAGGCAGATTGCTCCTCGGAAGTGGTGATGGGGTAGCTCCAACTCTCAGACTTTGGACATGCTGTAAGGAAGGATCCATTGCTGGAGAAGGACATTTAGGAAGACCCCAACAAGATGGACTGAAAGTGACAGCAACAAAGGCTCAAACATTACAATTGTGAGGAGGGCACGGGCCCAGGTCGTGTTTCATTCTGTCTGAGCGGATTCGATGACACCCAACAACAACAGCACAGAGCGGGGTGTTGTTGTGAAGTACCGTCAAGTCAGTTCCAACTCACAGCGACCCTGGATAGGGTTTCTGAGGAGCAGCTGGTCAGTTTGAACTGCTGGCCTTTTGATTTGCAGTCCAGTCCTGTTCCTACAGCCCCACACCAGGAGTCCAAATGATACTGCCTATTTTGCAAGCATGTTGCTGAGAGAAAACACAAAGTAATAGTTTTCAAACTCCAAGTACAGTATCTGGTGCTTTTTAACTGTCATCCAACAAAGAGTAAAGGCATCTTTATTGCCACCCAGGGAGACTGTGAGGCACAAAACGAAGTAGCATTTGATTGGAATTTTAATGCTTGTGAGGAGTAGGTGGGGGCAGGAGGGGGATTCATATCCCCCCTGAAACCTAATACAGAGACAGCCTGACTGGCAAAACCAAGCCAAATCCACTGCTATCAAATTTATTCCAACTCATGGCTATGACTCATACCATAGAACTGTGCCCTAAGATTCCTGTGCTGCAAATCTTTATGGGAATAGACAGTTTCATCTTTCTCCTACAGAGTGGCTGGTGGGTTTGAACTGTTAACTTTGTGTTAGCCGCCCAACATGTATCCCATAATGCCACCAGGGCTCCTGTTGGACTAACAAACAGGAGCTCATTCATGAGCTCATGGGGCAGAGTATTTCAAGTAGGCCTATCTTGGGAAATCCTTTTCCAGAACTCTGATAAGACTGAGGAGCTGTGTGACCATGAACCTCAGTTCTCTCATCTTTAAAATGGGAGAAAATGAAATGTGGTCACAAGATGAGGTGTAAACTGTTAAACAAGATGCCCAGCATACAGCAAGAACTCAATAAATGGAGACCATTACTATTATCCCAGCATCCTTGAAAGCAAGGTGATGTCTTCAAGGAAAGGATTTGGTGAATTTGACAGAGTTGACGGCTAATGGTCACATTCAAGCTTTCAAGTGAAAGTCAGAACTTTGGGGAACTTTTCCCACTGTAAACTGGACAGCTTTCCAACATGAAGATTTTTTGATGAGATTGGTGGTGGCATTAATAAACATAATTTTTTAAAATAATGAATAATGGACTCCAATAGTCAGAAGATTTCGGCATTACTCAGCAAATCAGTATTTCCCCAATGAGTGATGTGGGATGCTATGAAAGCATGCATGAGTTAAAACCTCCATTAAAACCACAAGATAGATTTTCATGCAGTGGAGTCAAAAAAAACTCAGATAGGATTTCAGATCCCACTTGGAAAATTGCCTCTCACAAATATGTCTGATTTAGGCATTCTTGCTGTTAAGTGCCATTGAGTCAGTTCCAACACGTAGCAACCCTGTATAGGGTTTCTGAGGAGTGGCTGGTGAGTTTGAATCGGTGACCTTGCGGTTCAAACCAACCTTGCAGTCAAGTGCTTATCCTATGGTGCCACACCAGGACTCCAGTTTAGGTATAGCAATGCAGAAAAATATCAACAATTACTATTAAAATGGCTATCAAAACATCCCTTTCTTCCTTCTGACACAAGGTTTTCTTCATCTATTGGCTGGTTCATCAGACGCTAGTTTTCTTCAGATACAGTGAAATACGTGTTCTCTCATAAAGCCAGACATCGGAGAGGGCTGCAAAAATGCACTCTTCCAACAACAAGGAAGCTGTAAGCTATCACATAGCATGGATGAACCTTGAGGAATGCTGAGTGAAATTAGTCAGTCACAAAAGGAGAAATACTGCATAGGACCACTACTGCAAAAGACTAAGGAAAAGAACCCATACTAAATGGGGTGGGGGAGGAGGTGTTTCTTTGCTAGCTATGGGAACGGGGAGGGTGGGGTGAGGGGAGGGAGGAGAAGGTGGACCACAGGGTAGGGAATAGACACAGGATAAATTGGGTGCTAGGGAGGGCGACAATACCCAAGAAGGGGGAGGGGAATGGAAGAAAAAAGCGGTAGGGAAAACAATTAGGCAGGTTTGCATGGGCTAAGTGAGACAGAGGTAAATAATGATATATGCAGGACGTTGGAACAACAGGGCTCTGGGATACAGGGATTGAGACATGGTTGGAATGGGGAAAGGGGAGGAAATAATGTTAAAATGCTTGGCTGTCTTGAATCTTGGTTTCCCTAGAATACCATTATAAAATAGACACTTGAGGGGGAGAGAAAGGAATCGCCAGAAATATCACCATAGAAAGCTTATGAGTCTATCTTCTGCCTTTAACTGATTGTTGTTGTTGTTGTCAAGTGCCATCGAGTCGATTCCGACCCATAGCAACCCTGTATAGGGTCTCCAAGGAGCAGCTGGTGAGCTTGAACTGCCGACCTTGCAGTTCAAACAGCTCTGCAGTCTGGTGCATTAATCCACAGCGCAACACCAGGACTCCTATAACTGATTGGAATACCTAAAATGGGGCTACAACATGCCCAGTGAAGGAGGCTTCTTGCAGAGCCTCTGCATTACGTAAGACTATAGGTGGAATCCTGAATCCCATCCAGCATCTTCTTAGGTGGGAAATTTCCACTTGAAAGGACAAGCAGACCAGCCTGGAGCAGCTAGAAGAACAGAAGATACTTATTTT